GGTGTCTTTGCTGTTGCTTTTTACAGAGAAATTGCTCACTTTTCTGTATTTTCATTTGAAACATCCTGAAAGGGTTGCTAAGAAGCAATGATCAATATAGTTTTTGACACACACTCAAATGTAATAGCAATAGTAAAGTTTTATAAATTAGATGTAAGTTATTTTTAACCCAACTGTATACTTCCAGTTACACAAAAGTAAATTCCACTGAGTTCACTGGTGCTGACAGCCAACTCAGCATGCAAAGCAGTGCAGCCTTGTGTCATGAACAGGTTTTGCTCATTAAACTCTATAATCCTAAGCATGTTTACTTGGAAGTAAGCCACTGTGTTTAGTGTTGTTTACTCTCTAGTAAGCATATGTGCTTTAGTCACATGCAGACTGGTGTATTCCAATCAAATCCAGGTTCAGACTAAAAGCACAATCCCATACATGATTACTCAGAAGTAAATCCCAGTGAGTTCAGTTGGGCCTACTCACAGAAAGTGGTATAGGACTGCAGCCTACGTTAGATAAACTGCAGTTAGGTCCCACTGAAATAAATGGGACAAGTTAGTGGTGGCTTAACTTAAGACACTTCAGTTGGAATTAAGTCCAACCTTACAATAATAAAATTTCACATTTTGACCCAATATTTTTAAGTGTACACTTGCAGATTTTGCTAAATATTTAGAAAAAGCTGAAACAAAACCCAATGCTTGCTTTATTTATATTTTCCCCCCAAAATAAATAAATGCAAAAATAAAGCACTAAAAATAATAATATAATTCGGTAGTGGCAATATTTTATGATTATAAACAAAAAACACATATAATGGGAAGCTATGGATAGGTTGATTGTTCACAAGCTTTTTTTTAAAAAAAAAGGGTTTCACAGATTTATATAACACAATTACTAAGGAAATTCCTTAAACTCTAACAAAACAATTTGTAATTTGTTGATTTTTTCAATTATTAGAACAGCTTGAAGTATCAAAAATAACATTTACTTGCTATGTTAGCTCACCTCTTTTTTTTCTCTGCCAGTTGTTTGCAGAGTTCCTTCCACCGATAATTCAGGCTTCCCAGTTTCCCCTTCAATACACTGGCATCGGCTATTGATGACTGCTCAATAATTTCCTCCCCAGCTATGTTCAGTGTTCTGACAACAGCTTGCTGTCTCCCAATGCCATCCTGGAGGTCCTGCAAGAAACCAAATAATCTGATAAAAATGGAGTACAATGACCAGATCAAAATGTGCTATGCCAAATGCAAGCATGGTAGAGATAAACCTGCTTTTATAAATGCCCTGTGCACCTAATATCATGTTTAAAAGATGCTTACCTGAATACAGTGTGCAGCATCTGCATGTTAGAAAAATAAACAGCTGGACTGAAAAATTTGGGTATCTGACTTAAAGATCAGATCACTTATGTATGGGCCAGTTTGTGAGATTAAAGCACTTGTAAAGTGTGATGCTAATTCTGGATTAACTGTGCAAGTATGCCATATCTTAATGAAGCCACAATGAAACGATGAATACAATAACATCATGTGGCAGAATATTAAACTGATTTTAAAAACAGAGGTGGTGACCAGATAGAAAAGGGTTCATGGTATAGTAATATAAAAGCAGCTTATTTTTGTTGAAACACTTGGATTTAATGGGGGTGTACATGGTCCTTTTGATGACCTTATTTTGTTTATTAATTGTTATTAGTGGACAATCACTTTTAGTTGTTGTTATTTATTTTAAATGTATCTGTGTGGATTGCATTACTATGAATTGTATTGTTTTAAGTCAGATAAGAATGTAAGAAGAGCCTGCTGAATCAGGCCAATGGCCCATCTAGTCCAGCATCCTGTTCTCACAGTGGCCAACCAGATGCAGATGGTAAAGCAGAACCTGAGCACAGGTCCATTCTCTGTTCCTGCAGTTTCCAGCAATAGTCTGTGGAGGCAGAACACAGCCTCCATCATGTCTTGCTGCCATCCGTTCATTTCCCTCCCCTCCCATCAAAGGTAATCTTTGGTGATTCCAGAAATGAAATAATACAAAACTTATTGGGCTTAATTACTGAATCAACTGAAACAGTAATTTCCAGATAATTATACATAATGTTTGTTTACTTTTTTTATTAAACAGAATATATGTCACTATGATAATGTTGTTGTTGTTTTTACTGTTATCACTTTGTTTTCAAATTATGTAAACCTGCCTCAGATTTTTTTTTAAATCTATTGAGCAGTCAAGATAAATATTGTTAACGAGTAAATAAAACTTAAAATTTAAATGCTGCACAACATTAACTGATTTGGGCATAAGTTCTGATTGCACATCACAAAGTAAATGGATAAGCAAGCTTTAGAAGAAATAGCAAAACTTTTAGCTCTCTTTAGGCATTCACTGTGAATCTCTGAAAAGGGCACTTGAACTAGACATGCAAGCCCTACTCCCAAGGTCCTTTTGTGCTATGGGTGCAAAGATATGGAGGATTCTAAGCATGTTTGGCTGAGATTGCTTAGAAGTCTCCTCATGACTGGAACCCCTAAAAAACCATGGTTAGAATCTCTCTACAACTACCCTGACAGATCAGAGAACTGAGGCCAAGAGACAATGGCTTGTCTAAGGCCATGCAATGAGCCCACGGCAGAGGCAAGTTTCAAACAAGAAACCTCCTGATTTGTAACTTAATCTCCTAGCTTGTATGCACAGCAGCTTTCAAAAGTCTTCATATAACTACATTTTGACAGTTTTAAAACATGGGAGCCTCCAATATTTGCTAACAGCTCTCTTGTGCCTGGAAGTAGTCTGTCTGTCGGTCTCTTTTTCTTTATTGTTATTATTATTTGCTTATAACAGTAAGGGGCAAGAGTCCTGCAATTGCCTTGATGTCTTTCTTACTTCAAGCCTTCAAAAGAGTTTGCAGTTTTAAAAATATCTTCACTGCAGTTCCCTCTTTGCTGATGTTAGTTCATTAGTCCTTTGCCTTGCTGAATTGACACTTCAGAAAGCAGTGTATCCTGTCAAAAAATGCTGCCTCTGAAAGAGCCAGTTCACTAAAGCATAAGGAATGGTGAAGTAGTGGCAATAGTGACAACTATATTAAAACAATATGAAACAAAGGTTTTAAATGCCGCTGTCTCCAGTACAGAAAAGGATAGGGTGGAAATCATGAGTAAGTGACTCCTATATACACACAACTATTTATTTTAAACATAGAGATAACATTGGTAGCATACATGAGAAACTTGGTTAATGCAGATTCATAGTCCCTTAAATCTGTGATTACAGTCTCAATGAAAATAGTACTAAAACTGCAATTATTCTTTTCTTCCCTTTCAATGCACACCACTAGATGAAGCTGGGGAATCAGTAGGGTTGCATGTCTTCCCCTGATTCTATCCTCTCAAAGGTCAGCTTTCAGACTCTTCAAGTTGTCTCAGTATTAAATCCAGCCCTGAATGCAGACTGAAATGGCTCTAGATCAAAGGCAATAAACTGGATTGGGCCAGTGGGCTGAATTATTATCTCCCCCCACCTCCCACTCCTGGGCCAAGTTTGACAGGTGAGCAGGGGCACTCACCTGATGTCATAATGTTTTTACCTGAAATTAAACCACGGGGTGCAAGCACACTGTGTGCAGCTCTTTGAAAGCCCTGGCAATTAGTGATTGCTGGTGAATGCATAGAGTTCCATGTGATGCTTTGAAGACCCTACAATCAGCTGAACATCAGGCTTTGCATGGAGTCCTGCATGTCATTTGAAACCTAATTTTCAGGGCTTCAGACCCCTTTTTGTCCTGCCATGTCTGTACTTTCTGATGTCAGGAGTAGAGTAAATGGGTATGGTTTTGCTTGGCCAAAATGGCCTTGCCAGATGAGGAAGTATGGCAGGACTACTTAGGTCTGCAGGCCAGATGTTTCCTACTGTGAGCTAGATAATCTGTTTCTTGGAGTAGAACCAACACCGTCCTTCCAGGCACTTTACCTGAGAATTGCGGATGCCCAAAGGACATAGAGCTGAGTGTCATCCACACAGCACATAATGAAGGCACATAGCACAATTCTCCAGATATGGGGTTTCATGTCAATTTTAAAAATCATAGAAAGCAAAATGGAATCTTATGGCAACAGCAGTCGTGTTTATGGGCTTTAAACTATGTTATACTACACCTTTTTCAGGTTTAGTACTCTTGGCACAAACTCTATAGTCTGAGGAATTAGAAGACAGCAGCAAATTAGAGCTTGCAATTGAAAAATGAGTGGGACTGTACTTTTTTTTTTAGAAAAGAATAGTGAAATTGGATGCCTGCCCGAACTATTTAATCAACATTACTTTTTTCTTCTTTGTTTGACAAAGGCTGAACTTTAAACGTTTAAATTACTTTTTATCACAGTGAGATGTTGCAGTTCACTGGTATATTTGTGGGTTTCTTTTCACATAAATATTTGTAAGGGAAATCCAAACTAGTATTCTAAGGAAGTGCTTTATATTGAGTTTTGAAAAAGAAGAAGCACATTATGCATTCAGTTGCACAGAACATTCGGATTACAGGATTTAGGTGATTTATCCAGACATTGCTTTAATGTCCAGTTACAATTAAACATCTATGTAAATGATATATCAGCAGCAACAGCAAGTCTGTGAAAATTAATGCTTTTACAGTAACAAATAAATTCATAATGATAAAACAATTTAGTCTAAAACACTTTCAAGCACAGGGCAGTTTCTTATGACAAGTAAATCAAGCCAGTATACATTGCCTAATTTTTACACACCAGCCTAATACACAGCAACACTGCAGTGGTAAGGATGGAATTGAGATGTAAATTTTAAAAGCAAAAGTAGACTGTCCGTAGGCAAGTTTCAGAGACCTTACACATGCAGGAGCTAATGTTTTTGTAAACCTTAATTCTGATCTGCAAATAATGCATGTGAACATGTAGCAGTTTATTTAAAGTGAATGAATTACGCAGATAAGAAAGGGAAAGGGAAAGTTTTATTTTGACATAAGTGTGATAATGGCACAATGGGTCAGTGCATCTGGCTGTTAACCAGAAGGTTGGTGATTTGAGTTAACCCAGAGATGGCTGTGGGCAGGCTTCCTGCATTGCTGAGGGTTGGGCCTCTGGACCCCTTCCAACTCTACAATTCTATAATTCTGTTATTCTTCCATTTTCATTTCAAATTCAAAAGGAGGACCTGAGTGGTAAAACTGCCAAAAGTAGTGCACATGTGATTCTCAAAATTGCATTTAAACAATATTAAATTAACACACTATGGTTGTATACAGAATGAGCATAAATTTTCTCCCCAAAAGAATCCTGGGAACTGTAGGTTATTAAGAGTGCTGGAAACTGTAGCTCTGTGCGCGGTATGCTACAGTACAGTCGTACCTTGGAAGTCGAACAGAATGTGTTCAGAAGTCCTTTGACTTCCAAAACGTTTGGAAACCAAAGCGCAGCTTCTAACCGGCTGCAGGAAGCTCCTGCAGCCAATCGGAAGCATGCAGAAGCCCATGTTCGGCTTCCAAAAATAGTTTGCAAACTAGAACAGTCACTTCCAGATTTGCGGCGTTTGGGAGCCAAAACGTTCGAGAACTAAGCTGTTCGAAACCAAGGTACGACTGTACAGTGGTACCTCGGGTTACATACACTTCAGGTTACATACGCTTCAGGTTACAGACTCTGTTAACCTGAAGGGAGAGGAGAGAAGAGGGGGGGAGGTAAAACTCCATCGTGTTTTAGCTAGCTCCAGCTAACAATTGTTTCAGCTATGCAAGATAGCTCTGCGGGCAGGCAGTGGGTTTCCTGTCTGGCCTCCTACTTAGCTGAAGCTAAAGAGGCTCAGCTCGGCAGGCCGGTAGTGGTTTTCCTGTCTGACTTCTCACCTCAGCTGTGCAAAGATGCAAACATTTATGCGAAGCAAACAATATGCAAAGGTGGGGGAGGAGGGCTTAGCTAGCCTAATAAGGTAATAAAGTGTATCTCTGCCTGTTGATTGGGGAGCAACTGGGGGCCAAGCTTGCAGCTTCAGTATAAGAATGCTTGGAAGACAATAGGGGCGCGGCCAGTCTTTGGAAGCTATTCCACTGGCTGACTCTGCGCAGATTTTGCAATAAACCTTTTTCTCTGTGAAACCCACCCTGGTGTTTGCTTGACTCCTTCATGCTAACGGCAAGGGCACGAGGTGACTGGATCCGGACCCCTTAGGTTCAGATATCCTAACAAACCCAGAAAGATTGCTTCAGGTTAAGAACTTTGCTTCAGGATGAGAACAGAAATCGTGCTCCGGCGGCGTGGCAGCAGCAGGAGGCCCCATTAGCTAAAGTGGTGCTTCAGGTTAAGAACAGTTTCAGGTTAAGTACAGACCTCCGGAACGAATTAAGTACTTAACCCGAGGTACCACTGTATATGTTCAATGTGGTGTAACTACTTCCTTGTGACTGGATCCCATGTTGTGAGGCAGTGTAAAACATTTAATCACATAGGTTGCTCAAATTACACAATTACTGTCCACAACAATGTCAACAAATTAGTGGGAGTTATAATCACATAATGTAGTGATGTTCTCATATTGAAGAAAAAACAGAGGGAGCTGAAGGGGGCATTTTACAAGAGGGAAAGCTTGAGCTCACTGGTGGAGAATTCATGATTGCTGATGAGGAAATTCCTCACTACTTCATACATTTAAAATAATGCCCTGTGCCAAACCATCAGTTAAGCAACATAAGTGCAGGCAGCACATAGACACTGGCCGGGTAGCAGCTCATGAAACTACAATGTTAGACACACATTTTTAAATTACGACCATTTACAATGGCTAAAAGTGATCAAAATGATAACTTTTAATAGGGACAACTTACTTCCCTGTGGGAAACAAACAAACAAAAAAGGCTCTGTAATGTTAATAGATACTGAGAGTAAACATTACTGGTTGATTTATAGGGATATAAATCTTCCATAATGCATTTAATTGCATAACATTGCATAGATGGAGTAGAAGGAGGGAAATTCTTCCTGATCACAGATGGTGATCAGTTTATACTGGAAACAGGATTGATAGTCCTTGTAATTTTACTTTAACTAATGTACTGTAACCACAGATGGCATTCTGATTCATATAAATATATAATTTCTCAGTGAAGCATAGCAAGTTTTTAAAGGACAGTTGCATGCATCATTCTGCATTTGTACAAAGAATTACCAGCTGATAAAAGCATATACAAACTGCCTGGTGGCTTACTCCTATCTGCCATATAAGGTTCTTTAGAGCTATCTCTAATAGTCATTGTAAAACAAGTCAAAGTGTAATGAAAAACAATATAAAATATATATGCCATTGAATAACAACAATAATAAAGATCATACACAATTAAGATTGTTGTAACAGCTCTACATATAAATAGATTTCCCTAAGTCCATTTGTTTACCTACGACAAAAGGTTGTATGAACAAAACCTAGCAATGTTTAGATGTTTGATATTAAGCCGTTATATCTCTTCCTTGGTTGACTTCCAGAATTGTCACAGTGGCTTCAATTCACAAGGAGTCGGGCAGTTCAAGTATGCAGGTATCCCCATTGTATTCTGCAAGTTGGGTAATATTTGGTATACCCAACAGATATGACATTCCTCTCCCTCACAACATAAAAGAGGGCAGTTCTGTGCACTTTGATGTTCTTGTGAGCCTCAGAACTCCATGCGGCTCTGGATTATGTCTAGTTTAGTGCACATGAATTATGAATAAGATATTTCAAAATATACAGAAACAAAATTTTATGTTCTGACACTGGTTTGGGGGAAATAGGAATACACATTTTTATGGGAATTAATGTTAATAAATTGGTTGTAAAAGCAAAAGCATGCCCACGCAAGCCCCTATTGTCAAACATGGTAATTGACAGGCTGTTAGGTGTACAATTAAGTGAGCCAGAGTGGTATAGTGCTTAGAGTGTCAGACTAGGATCTGGGAGACCAGGGTTCGAATTCACACTTGGCCTTGAAGCTCACTGGGTGAGCTTGGGGGCCAGACACTGCTTCTCAGCCTCACCTACCTCACAGGGTTGTTGTGGGAAATAAATGAGGAAGTGAAGAACCATCTACACCACTTTGTAGCTCTTTGGGGGGAAAGTAGAGTATAAATGAAATAAGTAAGTAAAGTAAATAGATATCATAGAATTGTAGAGTTGGAAGGGACCCCAAGCGTCATCTGCACTGATGTGGGTTTTCTAGAATTCTGATATCCTAATGGGTAAAGTAAATCAGCATGTTATTTTACTTCTATTTAGCAAACAAACTCCTAAACTTGCCTGAAATTTTATTTGCAGCTAGTATTCATTCACTGTTACTAATGAACGGATGCCAACAAAAATGAATGAACTTAGTAATTGGAAAACATTTCCAATTACAAATAATTGGGAACTGATCTTAAAATTATTTCCTGAATCTAGGGAAACACAGAGGTGGTTGTCACAATAAGCACGGGTTCGTAGAGGCTTTTCTTTCCTTTTCTTTTAAGAAACACCCTTGGATTAGCAAATTAGATTAGAACCACTACATAATCAAGTAATGCTTTAATTTTCAACAAGTCATTTTTTGGTACATGTATTATACTGTAGTGGAACTTGGTTTTTCATGAATAAATTGTATTTCAATGTCAAAATATGCAGATCTTTCTGGCATACTGTCCAAAACAAGGGAAGATATTTCATGATTAGACATAAAATATTAATGTAGAAACATCTTCTGTTGCTGTGTAGATGTCACCAAAATTCATGATGACTGTTAAAATAATACAGCCTCTTTCATGAGTTCTCTCTTATCACATAGTTAACCCATGCATATATTTTTGAATAGTTTCATGAATCTCATTTCCTGTTGTCTTTGAATGCTACAATATTTTACAGTTAAGCATAATGAGAAGCATTTCTACTATCAATCAAATTGATCTTTTATATGTTTATGGTATCAGCCAAGCATGCTCAAAGGTAATTTATTTTTATTGAAAATCCCTGTACCAACATGATGAAATAATAAAAACAAGCATTTAATGTCTGTCAGTTTCACTTGCTGGCAGAACATTCTTTTGAAAAAAATAAACCCTGATTGCATATACGGTATTAAATGCATGGAGATCATAAAGCTGTTCCTATTTTATCTGTAAGTCGCCTTGAGCTCCTGATAGGGAAAAGGTGGGGTATAAAATGATGATGATGATGAATCTGAATAGATCATGTAGAGATTCTCAAAATCTGCAGTCACAGATAAGCCATCACTCTATGCACTTAAGTTGTTTGGATAATTCTCTCTTTCTTTGTACTGGCTAGAAGATCAAAGTTGCAGTATATTTGAGATCTACACTCTAATACAGCAATGCAGTTTGGATGCCAGTGTAACCTTTGATATGTTCATCAAAGCCTTACTAATTATTACATTAATTTCTGATACCAGCTAATTATTCTTGAAAATTATTCCAAGGGCAAGAAGAGAAAGCAGTAACACAGAAAGTTAAGTAACTAATTAACTAATTAACGTACATAAGGTATGATTTCTGGAGAGTCCTTAAAACCAGGGGAGGGACAATTCTCTATGAGGGATTTATTTTTTTTTAAGAAAAATGTTTCAATATAAATATATTAAGGTAAGCTTTACAGTGATTTATAGCAAGTAAAAACAAATCGAAAAGAAAAACTACTGGTAAATGCAAAAAAACACATTAGCATTTTTCCCCCCTTAGGGAAAACAACTATTGATACACAGGTGTCTGACATATACTCCATATTCCTTATTGGCTGTACATCAGTCAGAAATGCAAGGACCATCTCCATCCCTAATCCATACGCAAAGCAGAGTAATGGCAAAACAATTGTTCTAGTTGCATTCAATATCACCACTGTCATCCCCAACTATATAGCATTTTCCTCAGTGCTCAGAGAGCTTCACCTACATTATCTCAATTATCCTTAAAACAAGTGTGTAATGTAGGCAGGTTTTATTATCCATATTACTGTAGGAGGAAACAGATTGGTTTGCCTAAGGTCATCCAGTTGGTTTATGTCTAGAATGAAACTTAGACCTTCTTTAGGGCA